TTTTTTTACACTCCAAATAACTTGATTATTTTACATATAAACGAATTGAATTTATGAGTTCAAACTGAGCCTAAAATTGTTTAAGTTCGATTCATTTAGAGTTCAATCTGAATCCAAAATGAATCAAACTAGAATTGTTGACTCGATTATTAGCTCTACGGGGACAGAGATAGATGGGAGAGGAGAAATTGGAATCTGGATTGTGAATTGCTCAGGACTTCACTCTTGGGCATGGAACTGAGTTATCAATAGGAAATGACACTAAGCACAATGACATTCTGATTAATTTAAAAGCAAGTTCTTGCAGTCACATCAAGTCCCTCTCTCATGAGAGTTGGAAGTTAAGGATCATAGCCCATGAAAATGTGTGCTGCAAGTTGTGCTAGTTTTCTTGGAATGCATGCAATGCTCGTACAATTATAGAAATTATTATTATTAAAGCAAAAGCCTGCCAAATTTTGCAAATGAGTCAGTATATCATTGGGGCACCGTGTCTATCTTCTGGTTAATTGCAAAACCTTAATGCAAGTTGTACATTAAATGAGAAAAATATATGTATGCAGCCCATCAAAGTGTAGAATATCTTCGATACCAAGGCAAGGATGTCGGGGTTGTGTTGATTTTTTTTTTTTTAATATTGGTTATTGCGTTCTGATTACGGTATAATCTATTTTCAAATTCTAAATAAATTGCATGAATTTGGTGGGAGATCATTGCATCTTGCTTTATTTCTATTGTTTTTTATTTTGATTTTTGTTATTTTTATAGATTATAATGTAATATTGTTTGATTACTCTCGACTAACTGTTTTTAATGACTTAAACTTTAAAGTAGCGATAACGTGGCTAATTTATGCCAAAGTAGCAATAATGATTTTAATTTATTGAAAGTAGCGATAATGCAGAGCTAATTTATGCCTTAAAAACATATATTTTCTCTTATATTTATGGAAAAAATGATTTCCCTTCTTATTTTCTTTCAAAATTGTAAGTGTTGTGTAATCTTAGTTACGTTCTCGTCTCTAATTAATAATAAAATTAATTAGAAAAGGAAAAAGGAAAAGAAAAAAGAATGAACACACACGCACACACTCTTTCGATCTTATCAAACGTTAGAATTTACCAATTCAACTCAATAAAACTTACCCATATATTTTCTTTTATCAAAATAACTTACTCATAAAGCTGAAACAATGAAATTTTGATAAACATGAGAGTAGACTTACATGTATAATTGAGAATTCTCAAGACAATTTTAAATCTGATTCAAAATCAATACAAAATTTTTAGATACCGATGTAATCTTAAAAAGTTCAATCTGGATTGTTCATGTCATTACGAACGACGCTTTCTCAATAAGATAGAACCAGGATTTCAAGCACTTGTATAGTTATTGAGTTGGACTTCCAACATGTTCATAGGATTGCTAGTTGGTATACATATATCTAAGTAAATTGCAAAATGCATGACATTGGCAACATTAATCTTCACTTTAGGTTATGTAACTGAGTTATCTATAGGACATGACACAAAGCACAACATCCTGGGGGGTTATGAAATAGAAAGTTCTTTCACTCAGACCAAGTCCTCTTCCGAGTGTTGAAAATTATGATAATTTGGAGGACCATAGACCTTGAATATGTGTGCTGCAAGTTGTGAGTTACCTTGGAATGCATGCCATGCTCATACAATAATAGAAATGATTATTATTAAAGCAAAAGTCTTCCTTTTTTTTTTGCAAATGAGTCAGTATATATCATTGGGTCATCTTGTCTATATTTGGTTAATTGCAAAACCTTAATGCAAGTTGCACATTAAAATGAGAAAAAAATATGAATTGCAGCCTATCAAATTGTAGAAACCTTTGACACCAAGGCAAGAATGTCCAAGTTGTTTTGATTTTATTTGCAATTAATGTTGACTGTTGAGTTATGATTACGGTATAATCATGTTTTATATTTTGAAACAAGTTGTTCGAATTTGGTGAACTAACATTGCATCTTACCTTGATCCTATTTTTTAAATCTACTTTCTATTATTTTTATCGATTTAAGTTGTTCGATTTAGTGGATGATCATTGCATCTTGCCTTATTCCTATTTTTTACTATTCCTTTTGATTTATTATGTAGATAGAATTTTTAAGTATTCTCAACCAACTATACTGAGTAACTTAAATTCTAAAGCAATGACAACATGGTTATTTTACACGAAAAAGTTGATAACACCGCTAATTTATGTGAAAGTAGTAATAACACAACTAATTTATGCAAAAAATTAACAACACATCTAATTTGCGCATTAATAGATTTCCTCTTATATTTGTGGCAAATGATTTTCCTTCTTATTTACTTTCTTTCAATTTGTAAGTATCGTGTAAGGTTGTGTACACTTCTAATATCTATAATAAGTAATAAAATCAATGGGAAAAGTGGAAAAGTAATATAATAAGCTTGTGTACACATTCTTGGAGAGGCAAGAGGTTCATTGTAAAAAAGCTAACAACTTGAATTTGCATGCCCTTCTAAAAAGTCAGAATTTACCAACTCAACTCAAATTTAAACACTAAAAATTTTATAACCATGAGAATAGACCAAGCTACATGCTTGATGGAGGATACTTTTAAAGACGGATTTTTAATCTAATTCAAAAATCAATGTAAAATTATTGAACGCAAATTTAATCTTAACATCTTCGTGTTATAATCAGATTGGTCTGTCCAACTCATTTAATAATAGATCAAGCTATACAAGACTTCCACCCGCCTACACACGTGTAAATAAATCGAACATTAATCAAATCAACCTTATCATGGTTTAAAGGTTACATAATCTAAACACAATGCCCGACATTGCTGATCCTGGCCAGGTGGCCCATATCTGAAAATGTGAGTACCAATCTTCTCCACGAGTGCTGTCACTTTAAAGTTGTGGCAGATGAAGACCCTGAAATCCAAGCAATCAATCTCCATCACAAGTAGTCTCGGCTCCTCTCTCCCCATCTTATCTCTTCCTTAAATCTGTACCTATCATCTTCTCATAATTATGATCTTGCACTTTCTTCAAATATCTCTACGCTGAGATTTTGTTGTATCATACACGAGGGGTGTACTGAGAACCAGCGTGTGGGACACCTCATGGTTCTTAATTTATAATTTTTCAAAGTATAAATTATCGTAGCGATTAATCATCGAACCCTAATAAAACTCTAAAATTCAAACTTTCAACTTCTAGATGAAGAGTAAAGCCGGTACCACCACTAGACCACTCTACTCCGTGGTGGTGGGGGACTTGGACGGACTTGATAACAAAAAAATGTTTTAATCTTTCAAAGAATAGAGCCAATGTGAAGCATCAAGACTCTTAGCTTTCATTGGATAAAAGCTAGATGATACCTAACCCAACTAAATTAATAGGATTATGTAGGCAGGCCATAAGAGACAATGTCTCTGATACTCTCCTCTGATTTTAGTTGGGGTTTGGATCTTATCATGTCGTTATGCTTTGTTGGGTTGGGTTAATCTAAATTGTCTTCCAGTTGTGTAATGTCGTGTGTGGAAATATTCTTTATTTATTTATAAATAGAGCAATATTATAAGAATTTAATATAAAAAGATTACTTATTGTCATTGCTAAATTAGTAGTAGAGAGTATTATTCCCATTTTGTATATTCAAATTGTAAACCACATTTAATGAACCCAAATTTGACTTTGAAATCCGATAGGAATTTGAACTGATAATTCGACAGATTTTATTTTTATGGTTCATATTCGAATCTGTTAACAATTCGAAATTCGATTCGATCTAAATAACTTAATTTAACAAATTATATCTAAATTTTAACTAAATTTATTCAAATAAGTACTTAATTTCTTTGCTATTTATACACAAATTAATAAGATTTTGGATCGGATCATAATCAGATCGGATATATATATATATATATATATGTGTGTGTGTGTGTGTGTGTGTGTCCAAATCTAAATCCGTGAAATATAAGATTTCATATTCGAATTCTAATTTGAATAATCGATAAAAAATAATCAATTCATATCTAACTAATTGAGTTCAAATCAAAATTGGATCCATTGATAGGCCTACCTGTCAAATAATAGATTAAGTTTAAAAATCGTCAATAATCATTTTTCCACCTAAGTTTACAATATCCCAAAAAAAAGAAAAAATTAATTACCGCATCAAATTTAATCTAAGGTCGATGTTATTTAATTAATTTTTAGATATTTATTATAAGATTAAAAAAATAAAAATTATATATTTTATTGAATAAAAATTAAAATTACGACATTAAAAATTTAATTTTCGATACTTAACCTAGATGTTGAGATTAATGATTGACTTAATAATCACAATCCTTATTATTAGACCCAAAAAATTATGAATTTGAATTTCATCGTGTTAAATGAGATTATTATTTTATAGTGGTGTATTAGGCTAATTTGTCATTTTAAAGTTGGAGTTTTAAGTTTTAGAGTCATATTAGTACTCGATAGTTGACCGTTTTACTAGATAGTTGACCGTTTTATTAATCTTATTAAGTTCGTACTCAAAAAAAAAAAAACAAATACGATCAAAAAAACCTCGTGATCCCATAAATGAGAACCTATTGGAGGTGGTTACCGGATTTTTTCCATTTACCCGACCCTTTTTTCCAATAGAAAAGGAAAAATGTTTGAGGCATCCCATCTCCAACACCCAAGTTGGGGGAGAGTGTGGATAAAACGTGGATACCAGAAGCCAATCAGAACTCAAAGAAATCTAAAGCTCCCTCCACCCCCATATATCTTTGGCCCCAACCCATCACCCGGTCAATACTTTCCCACACCAACCCCACCTCCTCCTCGAACACCATCACCACAAGCTCTCATAGGCCTCTCCTCCTCCTCTCTCTTTCCCTCTCCAAAATTCTAGGGTTGGAGTTTGGGCATTGTATCACCTGAATTGTTTTCTCGTGCCTGAAAAATGGCTGTTTCGAGCGGGTTTGCAGGGGTCAATTTCGAGACTCTTCTCATCAGCAGCAGCGCAGCGACCGCCTCATCATCGTCGTTATCTACGCCGAATCATATTTGGGTTTTCTGCAAACCAGCTCGAACCAGAAGAAACAGCCTGGTTAAGAAAAATGGTTGGGGTTCATCGTCAAACCCTGCGATCAGGTGCGAGATTGCTGCGTCGGATGTCTTGGTTCAGACCACTGACAATTCCAATTCGGCTTCTTCTTCCTCTTCTAGATCTTCCAGTCTCTCTGCTCTCGAACTGCTCAAGACATCTGCAGCTGACAGTATGGCCCAAATTTTGTTTTTTTTTCTCTTACATATTGAACTAGTTGTTTCGATTTCACTGGGTAAACTTCTATTTGATTCTAATAACGGGTTTTGTGTGTGACTTACTTTGGAATTTGCAATGCGATTTGAATTTAGTTCGTTCTTATTCTTTTGTGCTTTAAACACTTCATTTTACGCTATTTTTTGCTCAAGCGTTGACTGGTTCAGTTCATCATCTGATTGTTGATGATTTCTGTTAATACAACAGCAAAAAGATTGGGATATTTTTGGTTTGAAGGGACTATTAGAAGAAAATAAGGAGCAAAGCAATGTGATTGGTTTCTTAATTAGATCGCGAGTGCTCTGTGATTTTGCAATCGGTTAATTCCTTGAACAATGATCCAGCACAGTTATGGCCTAAAATCTAATACTGCTCTGTCATGTAGATATTACGTTCTATGCTAGGTGGTTGCTTACATCAACATGTTTATGACATGGTGCCTTATTTGGTGTGAAAAATCGCTGTGAACTCTGGAATTTTCCTATCTCTGGGAATCTTTCTATATGTCTCACATGTGATACATGTGTCCTTTGACTAATTAATATGAGATAATTTGGTTTAGGTATTACTTTTTCAGGATTTGTTGTTATTTAACTTGGTAGCATGACATTAAATTTATGCATACACATGTGAAATCTTCCCAGTTTTTTTTCTAAGGTTTGTATTTGATGACATCAGGGTATACTAAGGAAAGGAGCAGCATTGTAGTCATTGGGCTTAGTGTGCACACTACACCTGTTGAAATGCGTGAAAAACTTGCCATTCCTGAAGCAGAATGGCCACGAGCTATTGGGGAGCTTTGCAGTTTAAACCATATAGAAGAAGCTGCTGTTCTTAGTACCTGCAACAGGATGGAGATATATGTTGTTGCTCTATCTCAGCACCGTGGAGTCAAAGAAGTGACTGAATGGATGTCAAAGGTAATGCTCACCAGACTACTGAAAAATTATCCACTTTTGTGGAATCAAATATTCTTCATCTGTAAAAGATAGCCCAGGGAGGCTTTCCGCGAAATGGTCTGACCAGGGCTATAGTTTGCTCATGTGTTTAGTTTGTGAAGTATTGAAATTATTCTTACTGTTCTGGATGGTAATTGCGATAAAAAACTTCCACCCTCCAACCAAAAAAAAAACTTCTACCTTCTGAATGGTTGGGCTTTTAGCTAAGCTTCATAGCTCCTCAATCGTGACTCCCTGCCGGGTTTCTTATATGGTCTTTGCATGGGAGATTTCCTGTAACAGATTGAAATAGCGATCTTCTGTCTGGTAAACTTACAACAACCACGGGATCAGAAAACTGGGCCGGGTGAACACCCAGCTTATCCCTCCGAAGTTTAAGTCAGTATAAGATTGGAAGCTTGAGCGCAATATATAATCTCTCTTGATTTAATGTTGCGTACTTTTGTTCATTTTTCTGAGGAGTATTTATACCTGAAATAGCAATGAGTGCAAAGGCTTTAAGTCTCATCTTAACATTTAATGTCAGACACTCTTACCCATGTACAATGAGTGTTCTCTACTCAGATCTCCACACCTTTAATGCTTGGATGATAGGACCAGTGCTCGGGGCCACGCCGAGCAGTTATTGCCATCCTCGAGAAACCCAAGCACCTATGGTCGGCGCATGACATCTATCCCTGAGCGTTTAATGCTCGAGAAACAGTACCTCGGGGTACATCGAGGCAAAATACTCGGCGTAATAGTCATTAATGCGAAGCAATCATGACTGTAGGCTTAGGTCTTTGAGGATGCAGGCGCTCATTAATAACCTTGTCTGAGCCACTCACATCGTCATAAATGTGCTGTCAAGTCGCATTAATTGCTAGTGTTAGTTTATGTACGCGGCTCCTTCAAGCCATCCTTCCTCGGCTCCACTCCTCGGCGTCTCTTGAGGTCCATAATGGCTACATATTTTACACGTGTCGTTTAGGGGCTGCTGAGCCGTCTAAAGTCCCGGCAGTCTTCATGTGCATTCATAATTAGACTTCTCTAATATGATTGGGGGATCAAACATTTAACTGTGAATAAATGGATGCTGATTATCATTTCTTAAGTTTTGTTCCTTTTCTTGGCAGACAAGTGGGATCCCTGTTTCAGAGATTTGTGAGCACCGATTTTTGCTCTACAACAAAGATGCTACACAGCACCTCTTTGAGGTATCAGCAGGGCTAGACTCCTTGGTATTAGGGGAAGGTCAAATCCTTGCTCAGGTCAAACAAGTTGTCAAGGTTGGGCAAGGAGTTGTAGGCTTTGGGAGGAACATCAGCGGGCTGTTCAAGCATGCAATCACCGTTGGAAAGCGGGTCAGAACTGAGACAAACATTGCAGCAGGGGCAGTTTCTGTTAGCTCTGCTGCTGTGGAACTTGCCTTGATGAAGCTTCCAGAATCTTCCCATGCCACTGCTAGGATGTTGGTGATTGGAGCAGGCAAGATGGGGAAGCTAGTGATCAAACACTTGGTGGCCAAAGGATCCACAAAGATGGTTGTTGTAAACAGATCGGAGGAGAGAGTTGCAGCTATCCGTGAGGAGCTAAGCGATGTTGAGATAGTCTACAAACCCCTTGCAGAAATGCTAGCATGTGCTGCTGAAGCAGATGTAATTTTCACCAGTACTGCATCAGAAACCCTATTGTTCTCAAAAGAACATGTAATGGTCCTTCCGCCTGTTGGTTCAGATGTTGGGGGTTTGAGGCTTTTCATTGATATCTCCGTGCCTAGGAATGTGGGGTCTTGCGTTGACAATCTTGAGACGGCACGAGTTTATAATGTGGATGATCTTAAAGAGGTTGTGGCTGCCAATAAAGAGGATCGGCTGCGGAAAGCAATGGAAGCTCAAACAATAATTACTGAGGAATCAACACAATTTGAAGCTTGGAGAGATTCACTGGAGACAGTTCCCACTATCAAGAAACTAAGGGCGTATGCTGAAAGAATCAGAGTTGCAGAGCTGGAAAAATGCTTGTCAAAAATGGGTGATGATATCTCAAAGAAAACAAGAAGGGCTGTGGACGATCTTAGCCGGGGAATAGTAAACAAGCTCCTTCATGGTCCAATGCAGCACCTGAGATGTGATGGGAGTGACAGCAGGACTTTGAGTGAGACCCTTGAGAATATGCATGCTCTAAACAGAATGTTCAGCCTTGAGACTGAGATATCAGTGTTGGAACAGAAGGTTCGAGCTAAGGTGGAGCAAACCCAGAAGTAAGCCCCCAGGCAAAAATTCTCTCACTACGCTCCTTTCACTTCTTGAATCTGAATAAGAGGAAAATTTCCTCACATTGTCCTTGGTTTTGTTACTTGTAAAGCTTTCATTGAACAGATAAACGGAATAAGGTCCCGTTTGGGGATCTTTCCTGTTCATTAAGTGTTGTCCGAAACTTGAGTCACTTTTATTCAAAATTTCCCTGGATGTCTGCAGTGTAATCGGCCATTCGGATTGTAGAATATATGGGGTAGAATGAGGTGAGCCTGATCCATGTAACGGACCCAGTTTCTGCGGCTGTTTGTGAAACCCTGATAGTCCTTGTAATTAATATACTGATTATTTTGACATTTTGATTGTTTTCAATGTCTGACTTTGTTGCGAAATTGTTCTATCTCAATTTGTTCTAATGATATGTACGTTTTATCATTAGGCACAAGCATCTGATGTTTGGCAATTAGAAAGCTGTAGATAACTTGTGGTATCCCCCTTGGTTACTAATCTGGAGTGAATGCATGAATTAATAATTTGAGAGGGGATTAAAGGACCGCCTTACTTATAAAGGGGTTTTTCTTATGAAAGGAAAAGAATTCCCCTTGACGGTGAACTTGTTTCTCAGGACCGCCTAAGGAGATTCCTGGTGTTAAACAATTATGTAACCTAATGAAGGACTATGACTGAAAATCCTCAAGTCCTTTTAAGTCCTCTTGGCAAACAATGACCAATTTTAGATCATAAGGAAAAATCAACTCTATGTTAAAAAGGTACTTTGCATAATGTCTAGTTCATTGGGCACTAAGTTGATTGGATCAATAGAAGGTGCGTGCAAGCCGTGGTGAACTGAGAGATGCCACGCAAGGTGCAGGAACTAAGATTCTTCATTAAATTAGTCATATTTAAAAATCTTTATTTATATAGCTGTATATATAATATGTTAGATGGTTCATCAAGGGCTTCTCGGGTGATTGGAAGGGCTATATAAGAAAATATGTAGTATCTTGAGCTGAAACACCTTCCGATGTTTTGCCTTGTGTCATGCAAAGGTGGACCTCTTCCCAACCCACAGAAGGCAGGGGAGGGTCCAAATTGCAGATGCTTAGTACTAGGGGTGGTCCCAGTGAAGTCACATGATCACATTGCATTTGTTCCTTCAGTTTTTGATCCATCTACAGTCATTTATATTCCCTTTGTTGGTGAAATTTTTGGTTGATGCCTGTAAACTGTGGGCAAATATTTGTGATGATCATTGTCCGGTAACGCTGTTTTGGTGCAGTTTCGAGGGGGAAAGAGACATGTTCCAGTTGCAGAGACACAACACTACAACTTCTTCTTGACTTGGTACAGTGCAAGGAGAGGAAGGCATCCTAGAGGGATGATGATCCTTGCTGTAGTCTTGTCCGGTTTTGCAATTATTCTTCTTTTTGTTCCCGGTGAGTAAAAGATTTCTATGACAAGTTCAAATATTATTTTGTGACTATGATTTATATGCCTCTGTTATATTATATAAACAAAAAATACAAAAGTGCTTAAGAAAATGTTACCAAAAGGTGGTTTTGTCTTCCTATGTCAACTGCAATTGAATTTTGATTCCTACCAACTTTGTTGCTAGTTTCTTCCACTCTCTTTCCTCCTCGAGATAATACTTTTAGGTCTCAAGCACAATGCCGATAAAACACACTGTTATACTCTTGTCATAGTGAAGTATAGGAGATACTATTCCAAGAGTAGTCAATCCAATGCAGTGGTGCATAAGCCCACCATTTTTGTTTGCTATTCAATCCAATGCAGTTTCTCTCTCTCTCTCGACTCCTAATATCTTCCTTGTATGATGACTTTTGCGAGTAGTAAATTAGATAGCAATCATTTTCTCTCCTCCTCCACTTCTATAGCCATTTTCCTAAATTCCATTTAAGTTGTAATTTTCCAATGAACATTATTTGGTCTTCTGCAACACACAACATCTCTCCTTCAACAAGGACCCAACTTTCTTTTCTCAAAGGGTTCTCTTGGATTATTTGTATAAACCCACTGATTAAACAAGCTTGACCTACCAATGCGGTTCTGATTCAAATTCATAAAACTAAAATCCTACCCGGTACCAAATTGTATGAGAATCCTTTGAGAGAAAAAACAGTGGTAAGTAAAAATCATACAAATTAAGAGAAAAAGAGGTAAACATGTGAAAAATGAAAGTAAAGAAAAAGACATTCTGTCCTTGGAGAATTTAATAAAAACCATCACAATTGCATTTACATCAGTCTCTCGAAGATCAAACCATTACCCCTCTACCCAAAAGGCAAATAGACAAAACTTGGCACCTTCAATCAATCAAGTGTAGGCCCACTCTGCAGAAAGGGCCGGGCCCGTCAGGTATCTCTTGTGGCTATTCTACCCATTGGGCCCTGTGGGCCACTCTCTCCGCCCATTACCCAACTATGATCTAAACATCATGCGGAAGAAAATTACTAGTTTATTAGAATCTAGCATTCTCAAAGCCGTGCAAATCGCCGACTCTATTCAACGACTTCTTTGTCATCGCCACCTTAGCCAGCTTCTCAGCTGCTCTCCAAGCCGAAGTCGGTGTAAGCGGCTCTCCATTCTCATCAAGAAACACACCCACTTCTCTATCATTCACTCTCCGCCGTTGGATCATCTGTTGCTGCTCTATCTGCTGTTGATATTGTCTCCTCCATTGCAGCTCTTCCAGCTCGGCTTCCAAGCCGCGAATGTAGTCATTAGCCGATATCGAGCTAGACTGAATCAACAAAGCTCTAGTCGAGGACAACAAATGATGCGCACTAGAAAACTCATTGTGCTCAATTAATCGCCGAGACTCGGCTATTGCTCGCGTAGTGATGAAGAGATTTCTCAGCCGTTCGATATTAGGCATTGAAGATCTAACGGCTTGTGGCTTCGGGACAGGCAAGGCCTGTTCTCTACTGTAGATTAACTCTTGGGTCGCTGGGTCTCTATAGGAGCATTTAACGGACAACACGTGGTGGGACCCAATAATCGACGTGGGGACCTTCAATTCCACCAGTAATTCTCTTTCCTCCTCGGCGTAGAGGTCACCAAGCCGAACACTATCTGAGCCGAGCACTGTGGGCCGTCCATTGCAAGAATAAACGGCTGCGATTTCAGCTGGGTCTGAGCCAGAGGAAAAACCCAGCTGAATACGTAAATCTTGAACCACCACGCTCAGTAACCCACCAACGCATTTAGCAAAAGCATCCTCGGCCGGCTCATAGCTATAGCCAGCCGTATGTACCGGAATTTCGATGTGAGCGAATCGAGTGGATGACACATGGGTTGATCTTTGACGTTGATTTATGTTATCTGAGTGCACCTCCCTCTCATCTTGACCGCCGGATAAGAGAATGATGCTGGCAACTGGGTTTCTCTCTCTTCGATCTTCAAGTACTTTAGTGGCTTTTCTTAGAGCATCACCAACGCTATTCCCTTGACTACATGTAAGCCGGTCAATAAGCCGTAGAGCAGACCGTTGACCGTGGGGCGTCATTCTTCTTAAAGGCAAGAGCCGCTTAGGACTAGCCGAGAAGGCTACGATTGAGAGCCGGTCAGCCGAGCCGAGTGATGAAATAACCAGGCGCATGGCTCGCTTGAGCATATGAAGCTTGGCTCCACCCATGGCACCACTCACATCAAGCACCGTCACCAAATCAATGGGAGCACGGCGCGTCGGGTCCAGAAAATTGGCGGTGTTGCTATTGTGCGCCGGCGGTGGTGGTTGCGGTGGGGGTGCTTTTACCTTCAAAACGACGGTGTAGGTCTCATGGGTTCGATTCGTTGAAACGATAGCAGCCTCTGGCATCAATTTCGCTTCTACATTTCTCAAATCTCTGGTGTTGTTTACGGGTTCGTCACTTGAAATGGGATTGACAAAGAACCCTTGAAACTCTTCGATCTCATCTTCGAGTGCTTCGTTCTCGTTTGCTTCTGGGATTGGAATGAACTTAACACCGGCGGTCGGTGACAGCAAGGGCTCGTCGTCGTCGTAAGCCCTCGTATCGTGCTGTTTGATGGGTAATTTTGGCTCTTGCTTGGTTTTGAGATTGGTAAGTGATGGGGAATGTAGTGGTTCTTTGGTTTCTTCAAGTTTTTTTTTGGTGGAGTCAACTTCTTCTTCTTGATGGTGTTGCTGTTGCTTAAGCTTGTGAATGGCAAGCAGAGGAACGTCTCGCCATGTGGAGTTGCAGACTGGGCAGACAAGGTTGCCTTGCTTTCTCACGTGTGAAGCTATGCAGGGGAAGTGAAAGGAGTGAGAGCATTCTGCTGTGTAAATTGCCATTCCTTGACCTGTCTTCACGCTCTGCAAGCACACTCCACAGTTATTCTGCAGAGATAAAGTCGTAAAGACCCATTAGGTCAAATCCTATATATACACATATATTCATTTGATATTGGGAGTAAAATGTTGAATTTCTTACTCTATAAAGACGAAGGCTGTTCTTGAGAATCGAAAATGGGGATCTGGGGGAAGATGGGTTTGAACCCAGAAGTCCCCTAGGACTCTTTGTGGACTTTGGGGTGTTGGTTTTGCATTGGAGCTTGGGGCTAATGAGGGTCTCATTAGCAGGGTGTGTAGGAGCAGCTGCGACGGTGCTGGTTCGACAACGCAAAGTCGTCGGAGTTTGAGACGACAAGCGAGGCGTAGATGGGTTGCTTCCACCACCTGATAAAAAGCCAAACTTGGCACAGCTTCTGGGGCTCGGACTTGGGCTTGGGATTTGAGTTTGGAAGCTTTGTTCATGATGCTTATCATCAACTTTTGTTTCTCGATCTCTAGGGATTGTTGTGCAAAAAGCTCTTCTCCAACCAGTGCCCATTTCTCAATGACCCAGAAAAGCTTTAGACCCAGAGGATGCGTTCTCTCTCTGTTTTCTCACTAGTATATTGTCTCTCTATCTCTATCTGGACTTTTTTATAGAGAAGAAAAGAGAAGATGACAGTGGAGAAAAAGGAGTTTTGTTGGGATCGATCTGAAGAAGCTGACACAGAAGACAAAAGGGCAAGATTGAGGTAAGCAAACGAGCATGGGATCAACTGAAGGAAAAACAATAGAGACAAATTTACTCAGACTAAAAGATAGAGGGAGGCCAACTCAGACCCTATAATAAGCCTTCCCCACTTGCTCTCTCTCTCTCTCTCTGTATGTTTCGTATCGTATGGATGGTCTTTTAAAAAGATCGCTGCAACTGCGAAGGGCCTAGATAGAAGTTGAGATCCGGCTCTTTCTCTCTTTCTGTTATTGGTTTTCTTGGTTGGATGCTGTATATATATAAACACTCATATTTATGAGGGTTAGGTAATAATTTCAGAATTTTTACCTGACCTTGGTTGGTGACAGCTTATTTTTTACAACACGGTCATCTCTCTCTCTCTCGTATTGAAACGCGAACCTGTTTATTTTTGTATTTGATTGTTGATGGCATTTCAATTGATTTTCATTAATGATGTAGCTGAACTTACATAAATTACAAACCTTTCATATCATATTGTGCAGATGCGCGTATACCGAGAATTAAAAATTTTTCTGATTTTTAATATAATATCAAAATTTGTATTTTCTATCAAAAAAAGGTAAAGGAAAAATACTCAAAAATCCACTTTATAAATCTTAATCACTCACTTTCTAAATCACTTCTGAATATTTATATTCTACAGATATATAGGACGCAAGCGACTTATCACTTACATATTGATAAGTGTTGTATTATAATCGATAGATGTGTTCCCTAAACTTCCACGAGACGAGATTGAATGACAAGCAACTCCGAGGCTAAGTGAGAATGCACTACGAAGGAACAACGATGTGTGCAACTAATACCGAGTCTTGATGTTATGACTGATTATTATTCAAAATCACATCAACTCTAAATTTGTATCAAATTGGTGGAAAAAGGGGCATGACCTTTTGCTGACGGAGAGTAACCCTCGGGAGTATCAAATTAAATTCACGACGCGAAACCAAAAATTCTCGGCATAGAGCACTTGATATTTCAAGATGACTTAATGCTTAACATAAATGCTTGGCATTTCGAGCATTAGAGTCATAATTGTACCCTGTCATCGTGATAGAGCATTAGAGTCATAATTGTGCATTTTGATAATAAGAGATGTGCTAATATGATAGCTTCCTTGAAGGGGTTACGATCTTAAACTACCAAATCTAAGCTTTAAGCACTCAAGTGATTGACACGTCATCATATTTAAAAGTATTAGTTAAAGCACACATGCAAACTATTTTGAATATCACATAGGGAAGAATATTTTTGTTATGTAAATTATACAATTTTTATTGTTTTAGATTTTTAAAAAACAAGTGGTATTTGACCCACATCATTGTAAAAGACAACACTTTAACCATAGATTAAGAGGTTTTCTAGAGTTTAAAAGGGGCATGCATTGTAATATTACAAAAAAAAACATTGAAGACTTTGAGGCCACATTGAACATTAAATTCAAATTAAAGCGAGAGACATGTTAGTGTTAGTTGAAATGTTATTCAAGGTAAATTCCTATCAGGACCTTACCTAATTCAAGATTTATTATTGTATTACTTTTAACCCATAAGTGAAATTAGAAATCATGTCAGGATCCTGAATCAACACACAATATAACCATTAGCATAAGAAATTACACTCTATTAATGAAAAAATTATAAATTCTAAAAGGTAATATAGTGTAATACATGATTTTATAGTAATATTTAAAATTGCCCTCATCACAAGTGAGTTTTTAGAACATCCAATTGGTTACAGAATTCAAAACGACAACTACTTCATGCATTTTTCCTTATAGATTCACTCCGTCAAAATGTCAAAGGCAAGCTACATGTTCCACCATTTTGTAGATTTTGATATCAAATTCTCCAAAAGATGACTTCTTTTTCAAATAAAACAATAAATAAAATTACCCAGGAAAAATTTATTTCCTCTCTATCTATTAAACCAAAGGTAAAAGATATTAATAAAATTATTTCCTCTCTGCCTATTAATAAAAGGGTCAAATGTAGTATTGCTTTCATCATTTTTATGGCATTATCAGTAATAACATTTTTATTCTTTTTGATCCTCAGTGATAAAAATATATCATAAGTTGAGAACACAATTTTTTCATGCTTTTATGTATAAAGCAAATAGTTGGTAAAAGTAATAAACAAATTCACAAAATTAGAAAAATCAAGTTGCTAAAAGGAAAAGCTTTTTTATTTTGGTCAAGTCTTTTTTGCTTTGTCACGCCAAAGACCATTATGTTTTCAATAGACAATGATTTGCCAAACTTTCCAAAACTCTTCAAATATTGTAGATGCATGAAACTTAAGCACACAAATATTAGTACATTTCTAGTATTAAAACTACAAAAGTGCTAAAAGTTAGAAATTTGAAAATTTCTTCACCAAGCATCTGAAGAGCAACACGAGTTTGTGGGTTTGGCCTTGAGCTTTTGTTAACTCCACAAAAGAATGAGTTCTTTTTTATGATCATTTCTGATACGAAGGATTGTGTTTTACGAATGGTAGATTTCATGTGAATTTGGTAACAAAATCCCAAAATTTGAAATTTAACCCAAAATTAATTCTAACATAAAAGGAAAATGAGAGACACAAAAAAACCATATATGGAACAACACATGTTCAAGCATAAAGAGAATTGGTTCAAGTCTCGTGGTTTGTAGTGTCACTTCCCCAAGTAGACTAGGTTAATTCAACATGTAGGAAATCTATATATAGAAGTGAGGTGAAGTGTGACGCACTTAAAATCGGGGGTACTTTATTAATCGTTGACTATCTATCAACCTGCAGAAATACTTGTGATTGTCGCACAACTCAACGTCATGTCTATAACATCCCCTTAATCGGGATTTTAACCCACACGCGTAATTTGTGTACATTTTATCATTTGATCTAACCGTGGTCCAATGTACCATATTCATACTCTATTATAGTCAATTTACATCATTTAGAAGGAAGGACACATAACCAAAAAGCATGGCAAAGCGTTATTAAAATTTTAAATTTTTGGAAGGCCTACCGGTAGGGGCATACCGGTAGGGTGAGCTTACTGAAAAATTTATACCGGTAGGGTCTGCCTACTGAAAAATTCCTATCGGTAGGTTTTGCCTACTGGACAAAATTGTACCGGTAGGCTGTATCAGTAGATTTTGTCCAATTTTACCAGTTTTTGATTCTCAACCCATTTCACTACCATCCAAAACATGTTTAATGAAATTTTCCACATTACACATGATCCATACAAGTTTTATTACATTCATTTACATACTAAAACTAAGTTTTCATAATAATTTTATAAAAACTCAAAATAAAGCCACATCTCGACTTTTTTCATCTTTGAAGTACCGTGTGAGGGCCTTCTATCGACGCATATCCTGCATTTGAAATGTTTTCCCGTATAGGGTGAGCTACGCTTAATAGAGTATCTCCTATAGAGACTATTCCCTCCTAGATGCATATGAAATGTGCACATCCAACAATCAACAATCATTTTTCATTCCAAACTAAAATATGTCATTCAATGTTAAAATTCTACCATGTCATGTCATGATATGAGATGATACTCACTCATCCACTTTAACCCGAGTCCTTACCGACTTCCACAACACAATGTAATGCCAATGTGTAGCAAATCTATCATTGATGAATTACATCCATTGAACTTTTTAATTAAAAGTCATATCTTTATAAAACCGAATCATTGTTGGATGTTACACATAAAATGACTAATTTAAAAAAAAATAAGTACATTTTTCTGAAATTTCACCTTAGGGGAGTGTATGAACCAGATATTTTATAAAAGAAAATCATGTGTCTTTGTTGAGTAGCAGAATTTTGGTATCGCACTGCAGGTTTCGTAAATCAATACACTTTTATGGAATTTCACCTTAAGGGAGTGTATGAACTAGGTAGTCGGGTCTTGCACCCGAGGGAGAGTCTAGCCCTACTTGCTATACTCAGCACAAATTTTTCGTGCAAGTATGCGACTCAGTCGAATGTTCGATCCAACCTTCCCGAGTCCATTTATCAAGCACCAAGAGTAATGTTTGATCATACCATGCACACACATCCACACTTATGCCTAATGCCCATGAATGTGATGCCTCCGTGTAAAATGCAATGTAATGCACCATTGCAATATCGTTGTCATGCCCAATATGCAGTGAATGTCAAATGAGCAATTTAAACCGCATACCAACATATCTCATGACAATTTATATCCAATGCATATAATTACCACAATTTATCATGATGTTAATGTATTAACAACATATATTAATTCTTTTATACTCAACAACAATTCACAAGCATGTTACTACACAATCTATGTCAATAACATATTTTATTCACAAGGCACGGTATAAACACATAGCATGTCATAATAAATTTAATTCTCACATAGACATTTAGCAAAAGACTTTTGAGGCACCAAATCATGTTATCACACAAAATTGCCCACATAACAACAAGTTCCAAGAAATTACACAAGTAATCTCTCTACACCAAATTCAAACCAAAAATTGGCTTAAGTCATTTTCATCCTCATTTCCCCATTTTCATAACAATAGGTAAGTGACATATATATTTATACACCTATCCATTTTATATGGACATCCTAGGTTAGAAATAAACTAATATAGAATGGAACCCTACCTCTTGAAGCATGATAGGAAGGGTAGAAAGCCTCAAGAATACCTCTCAAGCCCAAAATTTTTGATTTTCTCAAATTTCCTCTTTGGATCTTCGATAGAAATGGGGAGAAATCAGATATTTCTTCTCTATTTATACCCTTTAATTGTGCGGTCCACGTTGTGCCGCACGTTCCCAATTTCTTAGTTCGTTTTTGTCTCGAAACAATTTAA